AAAAAAAAAAAAAAAAGGAAAAAGTCACATGTGGGTAGAAAGAGAGAGGACAGAAACAACAACTGGGGAAAAAATAAGGGCAGAGAAAAGAAGAGATAACTAATGTAATAAAGGAAGTCAGATCTTTAATGTACCTTAATCAATTCCTACAGCTACAAAGCTAGTGTTATGGAACCATGCACTAAGGGGGACTGAGAAAACATTTACAAAATATTTATTGGGGTTGCCCCAGCAGCGTACAGACAACCATGTTTGACTGCGTCCTTCCCTGCCCGGCTTACGCCCCTTGGGGCGATGGAAGGAGCCGCACTGCAGCAGCCTAGTTCTCTGTCCTTAGAGTTGTTCAGCTGCTTCCAGAAAATGGTGCCTGAGACAAGCAAGGTCAGCAGACAGGAAGTGAGGTCAATGTCAGGTTTCCATGCCAGCAGCGGGAACTCTGGATACAGGGGAGAGTCACAGCCGGTCAAACCCTGAGCTGCTTGCTGCTTGCTCCTTGAAATGGCTGGAGAGGCCCACCCCAGAGCCATCTCTCCTCTCCTCTTCTGGTGGCAACAGACCGGGGAAGAACAGAGATCAAAGCAAAGCAAAACCAAACAAAATGAAAGCATAATTGTTACATAACTTTTTTCTCTTTTTATATCCGTGCATTATTATTTATTATGAACTACTCTGAGTTATTTCCTTAAATTTCCCAAATTAAGGATTAGGTTTGCTGGCACAGATATTTTTCCCCAAATAAAACTGGGCGCTTTCTTAAGAGTTCCGTGTTCAAGGTTAATGCTGTGTTGTGTAGTGTGGCCTTTTTGAACACTTGATGGAGAGAGCTAATCAGTGCATCTGTTGTCTCTAGGAAACCGAGAAGGAAAACAATCAGCTCTTTTTGCTCTGGGCTGAGGGAGTGAGCTGTAATGAGGAAGCACGAGAATGCATTGGGCGCCCTCAGACCTGAACACACAGGTTAGCACCACCTGCCTGGCCGACCCGGCTCACAGGTGCGCAGTTGCCAGGTAACGCTTGGGATCTCAGGGTGCCTTCAGAAGCCCAGCAGTTGGCTTGGGGAGGTGTGGGCACGGCCCGGGGCGATGGTGGGGGCAAGGCAGACGGAGTCACTGTCGGGGCAGCTGGCAGCACCACTGCTCCTCACCTCTGTAGCAAGTGGAAACAAGCCGGCTCGCCCCGAAGCCCTGAAGGGCTGATCTTCTTCCTCAGCTGCCTGTGTTGTGAAAGGGCTCTCTGATTAGAAATGAGCTTACAGATGCAGAAGGGAGAAAATAAAACCCATGCTGTGAGTTATATAAAGCCCCCCATCTCTCTCTCTCTCTCTCTCTCTCTCTCTCTCTCTCTCTCATACACTGGCATATACGTGTGCTTTACATAAATGTAAATATAAAACACATCTGTCCTTTATAAAGTTATATTCTAAAAATTCCTCTCAAACTTGGGCAACTTTGTAGAGCGTGTTATCGCATACGTGAAGGGCAAAATGATGTTTGGAAAGAGCTGCTGACTGGTTGAAAGCACCTGGGTTCTAGCCCTGAATTTGCAAGTTTCTTGATTCCCAAGTGTTATTGGGGAGTCACCCTGTCATTTCAGATTCATGTGAAATCTGCCCAAATCCCTATGTGTCCTGAGAAACCCAGAATTCCCTGCATTCTCTTGATGAGCTCTTAGGGGTTTGATTCTCTTGTCCTGTCTGTGGCCCCCGCTTCCTCCTGGCACAGATGTGATTTCCATCCTTAGTTACCACATGTCGCTTCCGTATCTTCTTCATACAGAGGCTGCCATTTCCTAAACTCTGGCAGATTCATAAATCTGGAACACCTTGTTCCCAAATAATGCCAGATGTATAAAAACTTCCTCTCTAAGCTAATGCCGATTTCTCTTTTGGTGGTAGTAGTTGTTCTTGGTCAAGTGGTGTACTCTTAGGGGTCTGTCTTTCATTCCACTTGATCAAGAAAGCTTTCAGTGAGTAGAGAGGCACAGTGTCACTGTGTACAGCAGAATAGAATGTGTATAGCAGAATCATGGTGGTCCTGAACTGCACGTAATTTGCCAAGATAGGCTCAATGTGGATTAGCCAGCGTTTTTAAGAGTTGGCCTCAGCAGGTTACTTAGGTTCACAGAAGGAAGGGTGAATCCTGGAAACCAGCTGCCCTCTCCTGATTCATGGCCTGTCATTACAGCTGACTCTTTCCTGTGCAGAGTACTACTTTTTCAACCTAGGATATGCGTATGTTCCTGAATGTGTCTTGGGTGAGGGAAAGATGAGTTGTCTAATAAAGCTATGGGAAAGCTAAGAGCTTGAGGTTAAGCAGAGGCAGCCAAGCTGTGTTCTTCCCACCTGGAATCAGGCAGGCCAACCTTCCTAGCCCAAGGGCTATCATTCTGCTTTATGTGTTTGAGTCATTGTGAGAAGAGAAAGATTTATAGGTGTTCTTTCAACACTTATTCAACAAATATTTATTGAACACCTACTCTGTTCTGAGCTCTGCAGTGTGTTCAGAAACCAGGACTAGAAACAAATCATTCTTCCTTACTATTCTTGAACACTGCTCTTTTAAACTGCCTCTAGATCCGTTCTAAGTATCAATCCATGTATTGATTGAATGCGTACATGTGTAAAGGCTCTTACAAGCTGACGTTGTCAATATTTGCAAAGTCAAAGACTTGCAGACGTGGAGGCAGCTTATTTTCTGTGGGCTGTGGGTATGTGCTTTCATATACCTCAGAGTGCAGCCCAATTTGAGTTTATATTACAGTTTTTTTTTTTTTTT